GGTTTGTGTGATCCAATGCAGTGACATGCACATCAGCATCATCTTTCAAGTGGTTTGAGACCAAATAGAGCCAGAGAGAGAGAGAAGTAGTTTTATTTAAGCCTGACGACGTCTCATGCTTCAGTGTGAAAGAGGAATGTAGGGCAGATCTGTTCTAACGCTGACCCGTGGCTCGTCCCATTACATTTTCCAACAGCTCTATTAGCTCATCCAGGCCTCTAAAGCCCAGGAACTTAACGAGGATGGCAGGGCTATTACATTACCATTACTTCATTCAGGTCAGTCTGCCTGAGGAACAGCAACATGGCACACGCTCAGGTATCTGAGACTCAGGTTAGCAAAGTGACAATTACTCCTGGACTAATTAAGCCATCTCCACTTCAGGCTGTGTCTGACCCTTACTAATTATGCATATATGTGGTGGCAGTGGCTTAATGCTTAGGGACTCGAGTTGTTAACACAAAGCAAACAGGTTCAATGGCAACAAAAATTGATCCAGGGGCTCTAGAGTTACAGAGATCTCAGGAAACCACTAAACCCAAACAGCAAGTAAAAATCTGTACTACTGGCCTACTTAGGCCAGCAAAAACTATTTTTGTGTTAGCTTCTTGTCTTAGTCCAACTAGGGCCTTAATATGCATCTCAAAAAACATTAGCGAGTATGAGTTCCTTCACATAAGGAGCCGCAGGCTCTTTGAGACTGCTGTGCAAATAATAATGCTGATTGAAGAGTTAAAAATATACCAGATACACGGAAAGAAAGTGGTGCTGCTTTGAAAGGAGCATTTAGCAGAAGTCACAGAGGATGGAGATGACATCGACAAACTTCACACTGAGCTGAACAGTCGCACACATAGAAGAACAATAATAAATTTCACCTATGTGGGCTAGCTGACTTAAGCATATCAACAGTCAATTTCCAACTGCAAGTTCACTCTAGAGCAGTTTTTTCTTAGCATTTTTGGTCTTCAGTACTCCTACAGACACATCAGTAAACCCTGTGTACACCATCAGAGACGTACAGCTTTATATAAATGCAGAGCAACGTAATACAGCGACTGCCAGTGGGTGTGAAGACGTAACCATTACTAGCAAAACCACAACTAGGAACACCAACTTGCGACTAAGCAGTGGCAAAATGAAGCCTTTGGTGGTGTACCTCTTAGAAATCAATCAGAAATGTTTTAGTTAATATTTATTGCAAATCTGTATTGAGTTACATGTACATAAAATGTTAATATATAAAATTTAACTATGGTGCGTATTTATATTTTCTTAGTTCCTTTTTACACAAATAATGAATCACTATTAATTATATTAATCCATTAACAGACCTTGATCAAATCAAAACTGAAACGTTTACAAGACCACCCCTGGTTAGGAATCAATCAACTGGACTAATTGATTAATCCTAAGTTATTCATGTACTTTTGGTTGCAACTAAACTTTTAAGGCAAAATTCTGCGGTTTCTTAGGGAGACTAAAGTAAAATGCACTGCTAAGACCATAATGCCGTAATGAAATTTCTAGAAAGTGAGCAAATTGCATCAGCCACAGCTGGTAAACAGCAGTCTAGTACTGTTTCAACACCATTACTGAAGAACAGATGTCATCAGCAAAGCTTTAACAGACCTTCATTGAATTACTATCTTTTAAACTAAGCAAGAGTTTCAAGAACATCAAAAAGAGAGGCCAGCCATGAGATCTAATACACCTTCAACGCAAAATCTAATCCTGCCAGCTAATGGGACAAAAGAAAGCCGGATTTGGCTCTCTCTTTTCTCATAATTTAACCCCTCGCAGAATATGATAAAGAGGCCAGGAGCAGCTGCAGACTGACCAGTCCCCAAGCACACAATTAACAACAAAAGAGCCCTTTTAACGCATTGAGCTAATCAGCAGCCAGCCCACCACTGCAGTCCCCCTGAACCATCTGCAAGACGGCAGACCGTCTCCGTGATTGTGAAAAAAAAGACTGGCACCATGCTATCATGTCCTAGGGTCAATGAAGCACATTGCTTAGCAACAGTCAAGCCCCCATGCATGGGAAACCAAAAGCTTTAGCTTTCAAAGAGCAACTCAGTAAAGAGTGGACAAGGGAATGTGCTCCAAGATTTGATTACCAAATGGCCTGATTGTTCGCTGACCACTGTAGGAAAAGAGAGCATTAAGAGCCACCTAGCTTGGAACTTAAGTGACCAGCATTGAAACACTTATACATTTTCATTGGTCTATGGACTATAGCTACATTGTGCCTAAACTATGTGATATGATAAAGAGCTATATGTAGTCCAAACTGAACAAATGCTATATATGAAGACTGGAAATGCCAGTCTGCAATGTCACGACTGGTGTAGGAATAATTTAAAAAGGTATTATAAAAAGTTTGCAGCTTTTTAAACAAATGTTTAGAGGGAAAGGCCAGACAAGGTTGAGTCCCAGTTAAAAGCAACCAAAAACACAGGACACCAGAGGAGTGGAATCTATAATAATCCTAATAATCCCTGTAATAATAAGGTTATAATGGGTTGTCAACATTTCCTAACCAAATTTGCCTAGAATAATGTAGGGATCTCAAACAGTGTTAATTTTGACAGCAAATTTTGATTTAGTTTTAGTCATAGTCTTTTGACTAAAATGCCATTTAGTTTTAGTCATATTTTAGTCATCTGAATTGTTTTTAGTTTTAGTCTAGTTTTAGTCGACTAAATCTACAGTAAATTTAGTTGGCTAAAATCTAATGGGTTTAGTTACAGTGCATTTAAGCATTTTTCTAAAATTTCCAAACACATTATATAGGTTTGATATTACGGTTTTATTATGATAGATATCAAGCATGTTGTGTGTCACTGCAGTTAAATCGGTGTGATTTAACTGCGGTGACACACAACATGCCTTTGTTAAAATTAAATAAAACCACTTCTCATAAA